AAAAAGTTAATGGTGCATCTCCCAAATGTCCCGGCCGCAACAACGCTTTATTGGTTCCGCTATCGGGACGGAACCAATAATGGAGAGCCGTTATTTTTTTTAAATAAAAAAAAAAAAAAATTCAATTTCAATGTTTTATTAAGACTACAAAAATTAATCGTAATAAATATAATCCTATTTATGATTTTTTTTTAATTAAGACCTACGAAAGACTGATTGAAGACATTTTAATACCAATTAAGGCCTTAATTTTATTTTGAAGAATTCAATGCCTTTTAAGACTTTTAAGGACCTGTGGGAACCCTGGACTGGAGTCAAGGATTAAACAACTTCTCTGGAAACTTCTGGTTGAGCTGCGTTCAGAGCAACACTTCTCTCTGAATTATCTCTCCAAATAAACCTGTTAAACCTTTTCCCTGGTCTCCCTGTTTGGTCTTCTGCATTTGGGTCTGAACCTTAGTAAATCATGACATTTTTCCAGAATCCTGCACAATACAAAAATTATAACAGGTCATTTTCTTTCTAAAATAACTGCTTTTTAAAATTAAATAAAATTATACTTAAAATCTTGGGAAAAAAACAACAACTCTGTTATCTCATAGAGGTGGATAATACGTAATTGTATTTTTTAACGCTTCAAATACTAATTTAATCAGTGCATAATTTTATCTAACTACTTAATATAAGTTCAAATACTAAATACATTTCTTATGATGATGTAAGAGAAACAGAAGAGATCGTAACTAATTTGGCCCTCGGATCAATTTAATAATTCCTCTTATTTTAGAGATTATTTAGAAATTATATCAGCTTTAAGCTTCAGTCGTACCTTTGTGGCTCGCCTTATATAAAATAAAAATAAAAAAAGGCCCCTTCCTGCCAAGAACTGCCTTTAAAAACCAGCCAGTTCTGTAATTTAATGGTAAATAACATTTTTTACTGAGTTTAGCCTTGATGTTATCTCCTCAAAGTCTTGCTCTCTCTCACTTTCTTTCACACTGATTGAAGTTTACTTGCTCCTCACATCCGTCTTGATTCCTCAGCTTGTGTTTTGGACGGGTTTTAAGTGCAGGATCATTTGTTTTTCTTAATGTTAAAAATGCATGCACCACAGTACATCTACAACCATGTCACAGTTATTCTTTGTTTTAGCTCCATCCTTGTGCTTCAAACTTGTCTTGCAGCTAATAAAGAACGAGACAGTGAAATCCTCTGAGAGGCCAGTAATTAACTCCTTTACTGTAATTAAAACACTTGAGTCTCAAAAGGGTGCCGGGCTCCTAATGAGCTGTGACATCAAAACTGTACTGTCATCCAGAGGTATCTAACGAAAAGCAAGAAAAGAAACTCGGCGAGCGAGTGAAAAGGAAAAAAAAATGTTGAAATAAGAGCAGAAGGGGGAGAAGGAGGGAGATAGGATGCTTTCATTACCCTAGAAAGGAAATAATGCAATATCAGGGCTTTGTGAAAAATAGAAAACTTAAAATGGGAGGTGCAGGTATTGAGGGGAGGGAGGTGGGGTGGTTTGGAATTGTGTCTGAAATATTTTGTATGACCTCCTCTCTCGCCCATCCATCAGGCAGGCTGGCTCATTATTCTAACTAGCCAGTTCTTTTCTTCTGTAGCGGGACGCCATCAGCTGCAATCTGCATGCCAATTATCGGCCAGACCCCCTGATACCCCTGCATGGAAAATGATCTGTCAAAAAAAAAAAAAAAAAAAGGGGGGGGGGAGCAGCGAGAAGGCTTGGGCAATGTAGCCCCAATCCCTCCACCACTCCCCCCCCTCCATTTCTCTCCTTTTACACTCTTTTTCCCCCCCCTCTCCGTTCGCTTCCCCATACAGCAGTGACAGGGCTTCCTAGAAAATTAATCTATGGAAAGAGAAGAAAAAAAATTATAAATGTAGCTATTCTCCCGCTCCGGCCGCTCAGTTCTCTGGGATCCGCAGGGCAGGGGAAGTGGAGTTTGTGATAATTGCCAGGGAAAAGGGGGGCGATAACAAAGGGACACTCTTCCCTGAATGTTACACTAAGGGCAAGAGGAGCGGTCATGAAGCAACCATCACACTCTCAACGCTCCCAGGTATGCTCCCTATTCTCCCCTTTCATTCGCCTCCATTTTATCATCAAATTACAGATGAGATGAGCTGCCGTTTTCTGATCACTCTCTTGATCTCCTAACTTTGACAGATATGCAGACCAGGGAATAAAGAAGTTTGAACCCACTGGGGCATGAGGTAATCGCTAGAACTGCGGGAGCTCAACCCTCTGATCATAAACAAAGCCTAAATACCTTTAAAAGATTTTCTTTTCCTTGACTCAGATTCATGCAGGTTGGGTGGCAGCTTATAATGATCTTTAAGAGGTTGCAGAACGAAAATGTGTAGGCTATATTATTTGGGAAAAATATTAACAATAAAATAACAACCTTTGAAAAATGTTCATGCAACTATTTTAATTTCCATGATGTCAGAGCTCTGACCAAACATATGACCCGAACCATTTCATACACTCTGAATATTGCGTCATGATCTCAGCACTGATGCCTTGCCTGATCGCTAATTTCACACACCTGCTTAGCTCTGCCCGCTTCTCATTACCCGCTCATCTGATCCACCTGCATTAGTCTTTATTTAACCAGTCATCAGTGCCAGATTATTCTAAGCTGTTGATGAAACTCCAGTATTCTTGTGTTCTATCCTGACCTGTTCTGCCTCTCCACCTCTGAGCCTTCCTGTTCCCATCTGATCTGTTTGCCTGACCTGTCTTCTGACTCCTGCCTGATCTCTCCATGCCTCTGTGACAATAGAACGGGTTCCCGACCACTCAATCTGATTGGCCTCTTGCAGCCAGTCAGCCACATTGTGTACTGTACCTGGAACTGGGACCCGACTCCGTCCTGGATTTTCCATCAGAACCTCCCCAGATCTCTGACAATTGACCACCGACTCTGATCTCCAGCTTGACCTCCAACCTTTGATACATCAGTGCCTGGGACTCTCTGTGTGGCGACCATTGCACCTCGCTGGCAGCCAGCCTGCAGGAATCCTTCACTATCTCTCTATTCAGACTGAACTATAGGACCAGGTTAGTGGTTTGCAGATTCATGATCATTCACTTCCAGAGAGACGTGTTCACTAACCTGCTCTCTCCACCTGCAGAGGTTCCTGCCTTAGACACCGGCGCCACTTACTCTGATTCAATCAACTTTCTGAGAAATCAGTTTGTCCATCTTTAATACCTGGTCCTTCTGTTCTGAGCTGGCATTTTGGTTCGGTTTGCCCCCCGCATAACATCAATACTTCTATGGAGGGAATATTCTTCCATTATTACTTGATTAAATAATATGAAAACCACTTTTTGTGAACTTTTTTTTCCCAAACATTACTAATTTTCCAGCAGTTTTAGGCCCCGTCCACACGAAGTCAAACCCTGGCCTAAACGCACAAATTTTTC